AGCTAAGATCAAACTAAGTAAGTGTCTAATATTCATCAATTCACGATATTGTGTAACAATAAGTTGTTTCCCAATTCTGAATTACTCATAAATGCTTCAGGTGTAAATGCTTACTTTAACCAGTTTATAAATCTCATAATAAAGTTTATAGCTCAGTAGTGAATCACAGTACATTTTAAACTTAACAGACAAAAATTAATCAGTACCATGGGGATAGGCAGTGACCCCAGAAGGGCTCAACTGCTAAATCAGGATAGTAGGTTTAAATTTGAGTTTATTTTGTAGTAGGATCCAGATATAACCAGTTGACGAGTCTCGAATAAAACCGGAACATGAACCGGTATTACGCAGTCAGCCAGATACTGTCGATTCTATACTAACTCATGATATCATGACTATACAGAGGCGTTCCTCATTGAGATTAATCAAGAGGGAATCGATTCTAGAACCTGTGGACTCGTGAACATATACTGAACCTCATGGCATGTTAATTATCACTGTACTGACCAGTAACTAACTACACGAAAGAATCCCCCAAGTTCTAGTGTGAAGCCATGATCAATGGATGCCAACTCAGCGATCAAGACAGACCGAAGGTCCTAGATTCAGTTTCTACTTCCAGCGTCTTGAACGCTTGGACCACTTGGACACATGGACCATTTCCATCCTTCGTCTCCGCACAGCATTGTTTTTTTTCTTCTAAAAGACCAAATGAAATCAAAAAGAAATTTTATTTGTAACCATGAATCGATCAATGTTAGACTAGCACCATTAGAAACCTGGAAGAAGCACTGAAAGATGGCCGTTTCGTCCTGGTATGGTACTCATCAGTGTGCAGTGCGCATTCACGAGTTAGACGTTAACACCGTTAGATACCGGCTCAGTGGTCTAACGGCTAGGGCATTCGCGCACAATACCGAAAGTCCTGGGTTCGAATCCTTCGGGGTGCAGGAGTCGTGGATGCGCACTGCCACTGATGAGTAGTCCCGTACCAGGTCGAAACGGCCGTCTTTCAGTGCTTCTTCCAGGTTTCTCTAATAGTGGTAGTCTAACATTGATTGATTCATGGTTACAAGAATTTGTAACTTAACAATATTCACAACAACCCCGTAATGCAATTACATGTGTCCACTAGTGACTAGCTTCGTGAGGAATCTTCTCCGAGTTCTAGTGGTGGGAAGTCGTGACCAGTGAAGTTCAAACCTGTTCGGATGTATACAGGGTATGAGGTTGTGCAACTCCGTGAATTCGATCAAGTTAGACATTAACACCGTTAGATACCGGCTCAGTGGTCTAACGGTTAAGGCGTTCGCGCACAGTATCGAAAGTCCTTGGTTCGAATCCTGCGGGGTGCAGAAGTCGTGGATGCGCACCGTTGAGGAGCCCCATAGTAGGACGAAACGGCCGTCGTGCGGTGCTTCCAGGTTTCTATTGGTGGTAGTCTAACATTGATCGATTCATGGTTACAAATAAAAAACTTAACAATCTTCACAACAACCCCGCAACACAAAAGAAATATCGATATTAAATTATTTTCTTTTCGTCACAAAAAAAAGTTAAAATAAAATAAAACATGATCGATCTAATTAATTAATTAGTTAAATTTTTTCTCTCAATATACCTGACTAAATAATATCCATATTTATATATATTCATCATTGACATTCGAACATTTTCATCTTTTTAAACAAATTCATTTTCAATGTGAAAATATTAATTTCCGCCATTCGATGAAATAAGAAATAATCATCAGTAAAAAAAAACACGTAAAGTAAAGTAAAACACAAGTCATTCAAAAGAAAAGTATAAATCATGAGGAGAAAAAGAGGAAAAACTTGCTTTAAAACCACCAAAATGTAGCTGAACGGAACAATCACAGGAACCGCAAACTCATATCAATCAAAAAAAACCAAGAATCAACCCCAAAAGACGATAAAACATTTTGTGAAATAAACAACTAAAAAAAAAACGAACTGAAATGAAAAGTTAGTCGAAGACAGAGAGTGAGAGACACCAAATCACGAACTCACAATAGAATTCATTGCAAAAGAAAATATCTCTCTTAATCGTTTGTTTTAATAAATTGCGATTTTTTACAAAATTCGTTGTGACAACTGTGTGTTCATTGTATCTAAAAAATATGTGTGTACTACAGTGTATATATATCATATGCTTCATGATAAGTTAGTGAGAAAACGGTTATTTAAATTACTCATCATTAAAAATTAATCACTAACAAATATACTACTTAAAAAATATTCAGTAGTAATGTTGTGTTTTTATAAAAAAAGAGACGGAGAATATGGCATTATTCATTGTTTTTGAAAGACTTTTATGTAATATCAGGATTGTTTTTTTTTCAAATAACCACAGAAAGCTTGATTCTTTGTGAATGATATCATTTG